TTATACTGCCATTCAAGAGTTGTTAACTCGTGATATCAAATTGAAGACACTTGATTTGAACAACTGGCTGAACCTTTATTGTGGCAACTTATTCGCAAAGATGCTGGCAAGAAACAAGATGCCTTTTATTCATATGTACAGTTTTATAATCCGTCAATGTTATTATAACGGTACAAATAGCCATATAAATAGACTAAGTATTCATGACAAAACATTTTCTGTTTCAAAAAATTAACACAGCCCCTTCAATTAGTTGGATGAATTACTGTAGTGTTCTTAATATAACTTGGTTTTTAGGGCGAGCACCTTAATTGCCAGCAGTCCCCTGTAAATACTCCATCATTACAGCCGGTTGTAGTGTAAGACTTAGCAAAATGCGTGTACTTGTGATTAGCTTGTTTCTGTGTCCTCGAGTGAATAACTGTTGCTGATGATTGTTACTCCGTTTGCGGCGTGTTTAAACACTTAGTCTTACCGTCTGCGAGTAGACGAGTCAGAGTTTTTCTGACATTTTCATCAGTATTTAGGTGTTCAGAACAGCTTCTGTTTCAGATATGACTTGCCTGAAGTCTGTGAAATAATTCAGTGTCAGTTGTATTGATGAGTAAAATTTTTTCTTAAAAGATCACCCGTACCTCCAGATGTTCCTAACCACTGAGCATCATGAGTCAAAACACATTTTCAATCGAATTTGTTGGTAAGAATCGCTCATGTCTCAGGTGCTCTTTATCAATGTGTGAATATTTTCAGCCTTTAGAGTAATTCTTTTTTTGGGAATTTTAGTTAAGGGAATCAATACTTAAGGGTATTGTCTGTGTAAATACAACAGCCTCTCATCCGCCCCGTCGCGGGGGAAAACCAATTCCTTATTACAGTCGACCGCTCTCCTAACGGACACCTCTGTAAAACGGACATCTAGAGTTGGTCCCTGCTTTTCTTTACTCCCTTTATTTGACTCTCTATAAGATGGAAACCTCTCTAAGACGGACACTTAGTGCCGGTCCCAAAGGTGTCCGTCTTAGAGAGGGTTGACTGTATACAATGTAAGTATCCTTATATCAGACGTAATTTACTAGCGTATTTTTCTTACCATCTTAAGTATATATGTATTTTATAGACCACTGCTTCTATTTAGGTACTTCAAGCAATAAAGGTTATAGTAAATGTAGTTAGGTTTAAGAGTCACGTCCCTCTACCTAGTTAGTGAGAATTTTTAAAATTATCTAGTAAAGGTGTCGCATAGTTTATCAATTTATGCATTAAATAAGTGTCAAAATAAGTTTCGTAAATCCGTCAATTAGCCATTCATAAGTTCGGGCCAGTGTTAAAGACGAGAGAGATTGCAGTCTAATAAGGATGTTATTTTAATTCAAGGCAAGAATCACGTATCTAACATCCATTGTTACTGAAAGTGAGCTCTAATCGATTAAAATTGGTTAAAACTTAGTCGAGTCACTTTCAATATATTGTTTTTTCTTGGCCTAGTTAAGAATGCGGGTAGAGACTTAATCGTAAAACGCATGAAACGAGCCAGATATGATGCATTTTTTGGCATTCTACCATTATTTCAGTCACTTTCAGCACTATCGCTAACTTGGGGAAAAAAATTCATGAACTCAAAGCTATTTAACTCGTTCAGGCGCACTAACGTGGCAAAGAGATGAGCAGTGGCTCTTTGACACCACAGGCTAGGACGGTTTCTAGTTTCTTCGGCCCCAAGCTCCTCGCACTGCCTCGCCCACCTTGGCTTGTTTGAGCGCCTGACCAACAAAGCCAAGCGTTACATTCTGTTGACATGGGTTGAAATCTGAAAACGATATTACAATTCGCTAGCTTCCGATAAGCTTCGGCGTTTTCGGCTCACATTTTCCTCTGCATTAAGAAAAAAAACCTGTTTTAAACAATCTGCGGATTTTTTTTAACTAGAGTGTTGATATTTATCTCTTTCTCGTGTCTCGTGATTGTTTTTGTGAAGTTTCAGCTTTGACTGTTTTCTTGTTGACTGTTCTTTTGTTCTGAGCTGATTTTCCTGGGTCTTGCCCAATTCTCTCTCCTTGGCATTTAGACTGAAATTCGTAATGATGACATTAAGTAAAAAACAACATAAAGTAATAAGGCACACCTTTACTCGACACCCCTTTTAAAGTAGCCTCCCTTTCAGTTCTTCTTTTGGCTTGTCACGCAGTCCTCCCCAATGTGGTGCAGTAACTTGTGACGAACCCTTAAAGAGGTCTGCGTGGGACACTACTATTAACGAGACTTTCATTGGAAAAAATCTTGTCTTTCCCCCCTGAAAACCATGCACAAGTGCGGACCAAACTCTGCGGCTGTTACCCCCAAGCCGGTCAATTTTATAGGGAGGTCCCCGGGTTCATCTTCTTGATGGAGCACAGCAGTTTCCTTCGGAACAAACCAATTTACATAAAAGCTTACGAAGTATGATCTTGGGCTAATGAAGGATTAAACAAAAACAATAAGAACTAATTCTACTCAAAAGATCTATTCGGAGACTAGTGACACAAGGTGATTCAGGGATTGCGACATTTCTCTTCTAATGAATTGAAACGAGCCTGCTTTGTAAACGATCTGTCACTTAGTGAATTAAGCAAACACTTTTCTTTGTTCTCTTCCGCAAACTGTCCGGGTGTAATACCTTTTAAGTTTCACAAAGGGCGCAGCTTTCAGAAATTTGGGTGTCCTTATCCTCTCTTGACGAAGCCAATTTTTTAACCCCTTAAACCTTAGGATCAAAATTTGAATTCTCATTGGTTGCCCCTGTTGATTTCCTACAGAAGTAGGGGGAGAAGTTGATAAAATATAAAGCCACTGATTCATCTCGTGCGATCATTTACGTAAGTTCTCATGAACACTCTGTTTTACAAAGTAGTGATATTGCAAGGAGAAATTTGATGCTGATCACTCTTAGGGCTTAAAGGGTTAAAGTTTTGCCATGGTAGAAAGGAGAATTTGTCCTTTGTGTTTTTGTTTAGTGAGCCCCATTGAAATATACTCAGTACTGCATCCATAAACGTGATCTCCTTGACGCTAAAAAGGCCAGTTCAATTCCATAATACCTGAAAACAAACTTGACAAACTGTTTTATCCGTCATTACACCATGAAAATCTCCTTTGCCGCATGCTTCACAATACTTAGTTCCACAGAACCTGCACTTGAATATCTGTAAATTTGAATCTAAGTAATCAGATGGAAGCCAGTTTAAAGCGAATCTCGCTTAGATGAGTTGCTGTATACCACGTTTCTTGATTTCTTGTAAGAGTTTGCCTTTTAGGTACCTGCTTCAAAGCTTACCATTTACACAGGTTTGATCTGTGCGTCTATATACTAACTTGTGGACTACTAACTTGTGCACGTAATAATCGGCCGGTCGTGACCATTCGAATGAAACCTTTTCATTTAAAATGCCTTCACATGCGCCACGCATTTGGTTCTCAATAGTTCAAAGGCATAATAACCTGACATACCTTACTTTTTTCAGAGCAGCCCCAGCGACCCATGTTTGGAATCCACAAATTGTTTAAGGTAAAGAAAGTTCAGTTCACCCAAACGTGATTTGAAACATAAAATAGTTGCGCTTTTTGACAATAAGAACAGCAAAAGTTTGCTTCTAAGCTGAGCTATCTGAGCTCCTACAGTCGTCTTCTACAGAAACATTATTTATATGTGCACAACGTGTGGTATCAATATTTTAAACTAATTAACAGCTTGTTTACAATCCTGGGCTGTAATGCAAATTACAATACTCACAAAGACAGAAAAAAAGGCCAACTTAACACTCCCGCTGACTTACATCATTGTAATGATTATATTGGTTTCTAGACCTTTCTACAGCTGATTGTACATTTCAAATTTAAAGCTATGTCAAGAGGACAGTTTGACAAATGGACGGGGGTCGCGGGTCGCGGGTCGCGGGTCGCGTGTCGCGTGTTGTACGTAGCGGGTGGGAAAATTGGCGACTTCCAACCCACACCCGCAACAAACATCTGCGACCCGCGACCATCAGTCAAACTTTCGAGACTGATATTCTCATATTGCTGTTTTAGGTCATTTCTGTGCTGTTCGTAATTTTAGTGGCTCCTCTAGCTATAGATCAGAGTCATTGTATCAACTTGCGTGTGAAGAAGATAACAAGAACATCTCACCATTACTTGAAAAAGTTGGCCGCGAACTTTTTCAAGTTTCAATTTATGTCCATCTTTGCAATCAGTTGCAACAGACAACAGGCGACAGGAGAAAGGCTAACGCCTCAATGTAGTCTTATTAAATAACAGGTAAAAGCCAGGGGCGTAGCTAACCTATAGACTTGTAGGCCCGGGCATACAAATTTTCGCTTTGATCACTCTACCGCTTGTAATAAATTATACGTTGATGGGGTAAGCTAAAAAAAGTGTTGATGACGTCAGTGCATACTAATCATGCGTGCAATTTTCAGGATATGTGGAAATGAAAGTCAGCCAGGCCTACAGCTACTCAAAAGCTGGTTACGCCCCTGAAAACGTTTCCGACTCCATTTTACACGATCCTGCTACTACATCAGCAAGCCTTGGTACTATGATGTCTTGGTACTAACTGCATACATAGCTGACCCCACGCCATCAATCTTCGGCTTCGAAGGGTAGGCGTTACTGATTCATGGGATTTCAAATTGGCCGTAATATTATATAGTGATAACTCTGCCTCGTACCCAGACGTCTCTCTCCCTCGATGAAAATGTGCGCGCAAAGGAAGGCGGGAAGGAGACAAAGGGCGAGATGTACCCTTCCCATGGTAACCTGCGGTTCTCACCAGTCACTCGCGTTTGTCGCTCGCCATTATCACTTGTTATTCATAGTCATCATAACTTGCACAATTTATACCTTGTTGTTTCTGCTGTTTTTATTGTTGTCTTCAGATTATCCAGATGTGGAGCCCACTGTTGGAAGATTACGAATTGAAAGGTGACAAGTCTAAGCCATACAGTGTACACCTCTCCCCCGAAGAT